ACAAAAACAAAGAGTCTTTCTGTAAGAAACAATATATTTTAAAATGAAATGGAGATCTTTTTTAAAGGTTAAAAACACATTCAATTTTATGTCTTATGGGGTTTATACTGAGTTTGATATTGTATAAATGTATTAATTCAACTGTGAACCTAGAAACTTACAGCCACTTGTGAAAGAGATGTACTCTTGCTCTGTGTGTTTCTAGATATTTTAAAGCTGTAATGAAATGCTTCTTCTAATCATGTAGTTATTAAATTTTTAAAAAAAATTTACTTCATGTTAAATAGTAGAGGTGATAAACATTACCAGTGAAATCTACCTGATGACTTTATATCCATACTCAGGTACTAAGGATCTGAGTGTAACCGACTGTGACTAGTAATCATCAGATACATAGAGATTAAAGACACATGTTCAAAAATCTAAGTGTTAGTAGCATTGAAAATGTAGGAAACAGCATATCTTCAAATGAAGTGGAGATATTCTTTAAAGGGTACAAAATCATTCAATTTTATGTCTTACAGGGTTTATACTGAGTTCAATATTGTATGACTGTATTAATTCTCCTGTGAACCTAAAAATTTACAGCCACCTCTGAAAGAGATGTATCCTTGCTCTGGAATGTGTTACTGAATATGTTAAAGCTGTAATGAAATGCTTCTTCTAATCATGTGGTTATTAAATTTTAAAAAAATTTTAAATCTATTGTTTGTGGATTTTACAAGTTTCTCATAATTCTTCCATTGTTTTATACACGTGGTTCCCATGATGTAGTTATTATAAACAGTGCTTCAATAAAATTGATGTACAACTATTTCTGTGATGTTTTGATTTGGAGTCTTTGAGATAAAAAGGAATTGTATAACTGATCACAAGGAAGATCTTCTGTTAGTTTCTCTAAACTTCCACATCCTCCCCAGTGTTGGTTGTTATGTGTTTTCTGTTTTAATATTTTTTAATTTTATTTTATGTATATGAGTGTTTTGCTGGCATGTATGTAAGTGCACCTGTGTCTTGCATTGCCTAAGGAGGTAAGAAGAGGGCATCAGATCCCCCTGGATCTGGAGTTACAGCCAGTTGTTAGCTCCCGTGTGGGTGCTGGGAATTGAACACAGGTCCTCTGCAGGAGCAGCCAGTGCTCTTAACTGCTGAGCCAACTCTCCAGCCCTGTTATGTGCATTCTTTATGACTGCCATTCACATCGGAGTAAGATAGTTTTTATTTGCATTTCTTTGACGGCTAGTAAAGTTGAACTTTTTTGTTTATTGGCTACATGTAATCATTTGAGAACTGTCCATTTTATTAGCCCATTTATTGATTGAGTTGTTTGGTTTCTCAATGTTTATCTTCCAGGGGTTTTTGTATATTCCCATGATTAATTCCCTGTCAACATCATAGACTGCAGATTTCTCTGCTCTATAGATTATCTCTTCATCATTTACTTTGCTGTATAGAATTATTTTTAATTTCATGAGAGTCTTTGTTTGCATTCTGTTGCTGTGATAAAACACTGGCCAAGAACAATTTGGAGAGGAAAGGGTTTATGTCATCTTGCAGTTTACAGTCCATCATCATGAGGAATTAAGGCAATAACTCAAAGCAGGACCCTGGAGACAAGAACTGAAGCACAGACCATGGAGGAATGCTGCTTACTGCTTTGATTCCCCTGACATGCTTGGCTTTTTTCTTTTAAAATAAATGAATTTTTTATTTTTTATTTTTATGTGTATGAGTGTTCTGCCTGCATGTATGTAAGTTCACCATATGCATACAATTCCTGTGAAGGCCAAAAGAAGGCATCAGATCCCCTGGAACTGGAGTTAAGGACAGTTGTTAGCAGCCATGTGGGCAATGGGAATCAAGTTCTTGTCCTCTGGAAGAACAGCCAGTAGTCTAACCTGCTGAGCCATTTCTTCAGCCTGGTTTGCTCAGCTTCCTTGTACAACGCAAATCCACCTGCTTAGGAATGACACTGTCTACAGTGGGTAGAGCTACCTACAACATTTAACAACTATGAAATTGCCTCAAGACATGCCCAAAGGCCAGTCTGCTGAAAGAAATTCCTCAGTTGAAGTTCCTTCTTCCCAGGTTTATGTCAAGTTTACAAAGTCTAACCAGCACAATGATGTCCTGTTTGTCAATTGCTGACCTTATTTTCTGACTGGAGTCCTATTGAGAAAGTCTATGCTTATGCATATCTTGAAATGTTTTCCTACTTGTTCCTCTGTTTCAGTTTTTTGTGTCTTATATTAATATCTTTCATCCACTTAGGGTTGAGCTTTTCCAGGTTGAGACATAGGGATCTTGTTTCATTTTTCTCCGTATAGATAATCCACTTTTCCTAGCACCACTTAAATAGTTGTATCACCTTTTCTGAAAGTTTTTCCATATGGCTAATTTGCCTTCTGGTGTTTTATTTTAACTCTTTGATGAGGTCTTGGTTTCCTGAAGGTCATGGGTACCTGATGGAGTACAGCATTGTTGGACTTTGAAGAATAGCTTACTTTAGCTACTATTCAAATTTTATCTGTGCCTGCCTTTCCAAATTTTCTAAGGACTTTTTCCCCTGAGCCTTCAATCACTTTTACTATAACAAGACTGAATGGTACTCAGGCATGGGTTTGCTGGAAATCCATTAGCTTGCTGCTGCTGCCCAAGTCTCAGTTTATCCCAATCCACAGTTGGTGAGTTTTTCAGAATGAATAAGAAGATACCTAGAAAAAACAATTAGTTTCCATAAGCCTCTCCTTGAGGCCTGGGCAATCCCAGGAAACTTGTCCATCATCACTAAAGTCAACTCTCCTGGTACTTTGTTTGCCAATGAGTTTCATCATGTAGGCACTGTCCTCAGCCTCTAAGTAATGACTGGACATCTACTTCACTCTTCTCTTTAGAAGTGACTGTTTCTTTGTTATCCAGTCAAGAGTCAGAGGTCAGTTGGCATGGGAAGTTCTATGATCCTGCAACACTGCGTTAGACCCAGAATTCACAGCTATTCTAAGACCAAGATGCACCAGAGGCAGTTTTAAGATCCATGCCACTATGTTCAGCCTCTTGCTGTGATGTGCTTATTGTATAGTAGAGTTGCATCCAGTCAAGGGAAATTCTGGCTAGAATACAAGTAATCAAATAGATCATGGTAGCCAGTGAGACTGCCCAGGATTGGTTTACTTTGACTTATTACTGAGGGTTTTTTTTAATAATCAGTTTTTTATTTGAGAATTTAATACATGCACCTAATGTGTTTTAATGAAATCCATAGCCACATTTTCTCTCTCTCTTGTTTTTAGAAGAAGCATTTCATCACACCCTTAACATATTCAGTAACAATTTCCAAAGCAAGGATACATCTTTTTCAAATGTGGCTGTAAATTTTTAGGTTCACAGTTGAATTAATACAGTTATACAATATTGAACTCAGTATAAATCCTGTAAAACATAAAATTGAATGAGTTTTTACCTTTAAAGAAGATCTCCATTTCATTTTAAAATATGCTGTTTCCTACATTTTTAGTGCTACTAATACATTTTTGCACATGTATCTTTCATCTCTATGTATCTGATTATTACTAGTCACAGTCAGTTACACTTGGACTTATTACTGAGTTTTAGGGCAATGTTTTGTGCTTACTTTCTTACCTTGACCTTGGGTAAAATGCAGTCTTTTTCCAATTCAAAGGTATGGTGGAAGAAGGTCCTGATGACCAAGCTAACTCAGGGCTAGAATCTCAATTAATAGATGCTGACATGTAGGTAGAAGCTGTTCTCAATCTAGTACTGGGCTTCTAAGTTGGGTCTGGGATTGGGTTCCAAGTCTGTGGCCTGGACTTAATTCCTTCTCATCCCCAAGCAGAAGACAACCCTATGTTTTATTCCTTGGGAAGGGATTATGGGGACAATTCTTGAATTGCTACCTTCATTTAAATTATTTTCCTATTATTATACATTAAAGCAAAGTACTGAAATCTCTCAGCTTGCTAACAATTCCTATGAGAATAGTTCCACGCCCAATTAGCTATTGGAGTTGATGTTGCTTTGGAGAGACTTGACTGGAGTTTTCTTCCATCTTAGTCTAGCTACTTCTTAAGTTGACCTTACCGACATCATTCAGTGAGATAGCACTGGGCAAATAAACTAAGAAAAATGACTGAAACTTTTATTGCTTTATTTTTGTATTGCTAATGCTGCTTTCAAAAATGACAGGATATTTGTAAAGATTATCTGTCACCAATCTGTTTGCATGTAGTGCTACCAATAGACATTCAGATAAAATAAAATTGTTTACATTGATACAAGAATTTTGTCTTTTGCTTTAAAAGAATCTGATTGAACTTATCAATTGTTTTGCATTCATTTCATGTTAGTCAAATTAATTGGCTACTAGGAGTATCTTTCTTTATGTCTTTAAGAAGATCGTTTTTTCTTGGCTGGCTGCGGTTGTTTTAAGCAGTGTTGTGTATCATTTTCTCTCAGCTAACCCCTGCCTCTACTATGACGAATACTACAACTGTGAGAAACGAGCAAGACTTCGTAGATGCTCACACCCAACCATTCAGCAGTTTTGCAAGGCTTCTTGTCTATGCACAACTGAGATAAAATAACCTCTGTTATTTACACCTGTATCAGGCTAAAAAGATACAGCGATGTCTAGATCACATATTTCACCGTAGTTTACTTTGGAAGCTTCTACTGGATTTCATTTGGTCTTGATTATGCTCACGATCCTAATTTTTAATCATCATTTATACACATCAGGATGTTTCATTGATACCATACCCTCCTGGTCCCTAATCCATCCTACAGCAGCATAGTTTTAAACTTTTACATTGTTTAATGAAAGATCAAATTAAATGATTGCCTCAAATTTTTAAAATACTTTATTATTTTTACTTTATGTGCATGAGCGTACTGTTTGCATGTATGTAAGTGTGCCTGTGTCATTTAATGCCCAAAGAATTCAGAAGAGGGTATCAGATCCCCTGGAACTGGAGTTACAGATGGTTGTTAGCTGACATGTGAGTGCTGGGAATTTAACCTGGGTTCTCTGCAAGAACAGTCAGTGCTCTCAGCTGATGAGTCATCTTTCTAGTCCCATCACCTCAAATTTAATTCAAGTGATTTGTAGTACTTTGTACTGATTATATTGCCATAATTCAACTAATTGCTTAACTGAGTCCTTCATCCATAATTTATGGCAAAAAAAGGCTCTTGTTGAGGTGAAACCCCTGCCTTGATGCCCCCAATTTTCTCAGCCACCTTAGTTTGTCTCCATACATCACTAAATTCTTTTCTGCTTTTTCTTTAGCCACAGTTGGCCTATAACTCACTATGTAAAGCAGGCTGGCCTCAGTCTCACAGAGATCCACCTGCCTCTGCCTCCTGAGTGCTGGGATTAAAGGTGTGCACCACCATGCCCCGCTCATTAATTCTTTACTTTTACATTCCAGTTCTATTTTAAATTAAGCTTTAAAAAATCCACAATCAAGAGTCAAGCCTCAAACTTGAAGGGTAAATATTACTTAGCTGGAAGTGGGTTAAATCCCTTACTGACTCATTGCTCTCTACATGCAAGTCTGTGAAATGTACTGAAAGCCAATCTAGCTCCTGCTACTTTCCCTTCTGCTTCTAATTCTCCATTGTGTTCCTGTTTCCTCCTCTCACCCTGGGTATTCCATTCACAGATTTTTATGTCTGACAATAGAACTGAATAGAGCTACGCAAGTTAAGTTTACTGCTGGGAGGTGCACCCGTGGCTTCCAGGCTCCCAGCACGGCTCCCTCCTCCCACTGTCCTTATGACAAACCAAGAAAATATTCCTCCAAACCACAGTTTAGGAAACACCAGGATATATTGGGCTTGCTTACAGAGCATATGATGGTGGTAAAGGGGTACTTACAAAAGTATGACCACCCTTGGGCCTTTTTTCCCTACATTTCAGCCGCCTACCCTACATGTGTGTGTTTCCTGAACTGCTGCAGGCTGGTCCAAGATGGTGAACCATCTTCCTTCTCCCTGGCTTCCCCTGACCCTATCCTTATCCCCTCCCCTTTGTCTGGGACAAATCTTTCATTATGCAGTTTCTGCAGCTGCTTTTTTAAAATTTTGGTCCCTATTCTGCTTCCATGACATCAAAAATATTTTTCTAGGCCTTCCACGGTCCTTAAAGAATCTACGTAGATGTGCAGCAGTCCCCATTGCTTAAGCAGGCACACTATTTTATACCATTTACAAGATGGCTGCCATCCCAGAATTTCCTCCACTGACCTTGTCCGCTGAGATGGCTTCACCCTAGTTACACATCTCACTATCTCCTGCATTATCCATGCCACTGTCTCTACCCCCAGTAAGCTTACAGGGTAGCCCACCATTTCAATATTTCCTCTCCCCACAGTATCCCCCCAACTGTGCAACATCATCATTGCTCTTCCCAAACCCCTGTTTCCTCGTATCCTGCATATCCTTCTGACTACACTAACTGTAAGTTGAAGCTGCTGCTGGGTGGCACAGGCATGGCTTCCAGGGGAGGGTGACTGTCTCCCTCTGCCCCTCCCCTCCTATGGATCAGGTGGATCAGGTTATACCACTCTTTGGCATATAACCAAAGGATTCATCCTACTGTACAGATACCTGTGCATTCATGTTTGTTGCTGTTCTTTGGAAAATTGCCCTGTTCTGACTTTTTTCTAGTTCTCTGGCTAGAACTTGTAATGCTAATTACTCTTGCCTTTACTTCTCCTTCACATCTCCTATTCATGATTCAAGGACTTTCTTTTCCCCTTAGATATGAGTTATGTAATTTGGGAGTCTTTTAGATAGACTCACTGAAGGGGTACTCCAACTGCCTCACCCTGCATCCCTGTTCAGCATGGAAGAAGCCTGAGTGGTCTGCGTTACAATTGCCTATTAGCAATTTGGGTAACCTCTTCAGAGGATGGTGTGATAAGAATAGGAGGTAGGAATTGGCTAGGCAGTTGGCAGTTAG